CCTCAGAAGGAGGGGTGGGCTAGGGCAGCACAGAGTCTAGTTCTGCCAGGCTAGCAAGGGAAGCAGATCTACATGACTCCCACCCTCAGGCCACAGTCAGTGAAGAGAAGCTGTGGATCAGCAGCAGAGGAAAACAGGGTCCTACAGGCTTCTAGGGAGAGGCAGCTCCAGACCTGGAAGGACCTCACTGATTTACCCACCCGTCAGGACAACAGAAGGGCACACCATGGCTTACGGAGCTCTGATGCCTGTTGTGTGCCTGCCGCCACCTTGGAGGTGGCCAAGTGAGGAGAAGCTGGCTGCCCTGCCAGCTGCCCTGCCAATGACCCCACTGTGGCTGGGCCAGCTGCCTCCTGTCCTGCCAACTTGGCCTGGCCCAGCAGGCTGCCAATCACAGCTAATGACCATGCTGCCTGCAGCCCAGGCCACCACCTTCCTTCGGGTGAGCACAGCACTTGCGGGCCCAGACAACAGCCAGGCCAGAAATCACAGCCGTTTGTCACACCACATCCTCTGGCCCTGTGCTACGGTCTCCTCCTCCTCCTCTTGCCAGGGTCACGAAGGACACTGCAGAAAGCCTGGGTATGCAGGACACTCAGACACTGCTCTGTTCTCCGAAAGAATGGGCAAACAGAAACCCAGCGGGGGCTGACTCATGCAGGTCACACAGTCAGTCACCACTGAGCCCAGGGACAAGGACTGCTTCCTGGGCCCCCTACTCAGTCCAGCACTGCCCTCAGCCTCGTAAAGGAGGCCTGTGTCCTGGCTCTTCCTATGCAAAGAATGCTTTTAAGACACTGGGTAGAGCTGAGGAGACAGGATGTCTCCTGAAGCTGGATGTTCAGGGACAAACAGAAGCAGATTTCCAGTTCAAAGAGATCTGGGCCTGATTCCCGCCTCCTTACTGTCCAGCTGTGTGACCCTGGGCAAGGCAAGGCATCTCTACGAGCTCCGGGCTCTGGAAGACAACAGTAACTACCTCCCAAAATTAATGGGGCCAAGAGTGTGAAGTACTTAATACACTGTCTGGCTCAGAATAAGTATGCAAAGGTGTTTGCCATTATTAATATCATCATTATAGTATTAAATGTTTGGATGCATTTAACAAACTATAAAATGTTAGGGATGTAGGTATTACTATTACTTCTGTTAAGTGTCAAAGATTCACTTAACATGCCCAGAGGGTTGGGCAATCCAGGACTGCTTCTGTTGGGTGGAATTTATGACCCAAGTGGGGCCTGGACAGACAGGGAGGCGAGCGGAGAAGAGGCAGGGATGCAGCTCTGACAGAAGGGGCCTCACAGCACAGGGGCAGCGATGGGACCACACACGGTGTGGGTTAGGAGACAGCGATGAGCAGAGGGCCCTGCAGTGAGCGGCTCTGGTGGGCAGAGACTTGAACATCACAACTGCTGGCCTGGAATCAGCTCACAGAGGAAGCACAAGGAGCCCCTGAGAGGCTCCAAATGGTGATTCCACGCTTCCTTTCTGAAACCTGAGTTCTGTCTGACATTCTAGGTCCTCTCCTACCTGATCACTCACCCCTCACGGACCTCAAACCCAGCATCACCACCCCAGACTGCCCCCCATCTCTCTGCAAACCACAGTACCGCACTGTCTCTCCTGCTGCTGGTGCACGTCCACAGTGAAGGCCCCTTCACTGAGTACCTTTTATGCCCTGTGTTTTACAAATGTGACTCCAGTCACTCATAAGAACCCCAAGAAGCGGACACTGTTATGCTCACTGCACAGAAGGAGAAGCAGAGGCCTTGGGCGGGGGAGGTGGGTCAGGTGTCTTGGCCACAGTCTCAAAATGAGCAGACAGCACAGGCTTGGTGACAGGACACTTCTTTCTCCAGCAGCTTGGCTCTAGCTCCAGCCAGGACACCCGCCTCTTCCATGAAGCCTTCCCCTGACTCAGCCCGGAACAGACTCTTCTACCAGCCTCCCCGCCCAGCACCTCAGCCTTACCCACACCCCGACCATCTTTGAAATCAGAGGCCCACAACTTAATCCCCGCTCAGCCAGTCCGGTTTCCAGCATTGCCCAGGGGTCTACCTGGCCCCCGAACAGGAGAGCTGGTTGCTGAGAGGTCACCCTCTCCCTGTCCTATCCTGCACTCTACCCCGCACCCCACATTCACTCCATAGTCCAGACAGCAGCAAAACAAGAGCTACTCGCCTCCCCTGGTGGGACTGAAACTCAGCTGAACATGGAGCTTTGTCCGGTGAGGGCAGCAATAAATTATTCACAGTCCCCCTGCCCAGGGAAGCCAGACAATGGGCCCGAGGGAATGGACACCAGCTCCCCCTCCTCAGTGCTCCCAAAGGAAGCCACGGGGGCGGTCAGAATCTGCAGCCCCTTGCCAGTTGTCCCCAGGCAGACTCTAGAGGGCGCTGAGATTAGGAAGGGGACAGAAGTGAATGAGCCACACTGAGCAAACACAGGTCTTGAAGTCTGCAACTATAACATGTATTCTAACCCAAGGCAAGTCTGAACATTTTCCCAGACTTCCTGGTCAAAACTCAAGCCTTCTTCCCTTCATAGTGAAAGAAATCGGCATTTAGCCAGGCACTGCATATCTGTATCTCATTTGGTCTTCACAAAGACCCGGTAAGGGAGGTGGTCTACTTTTAGAGAGAAGCAGTGGGGCTCAGAGGTGATTGCCCCGAGTGGAAGGAAGGCAGCACAGGTTCTCCTCCCTCGTGTCTGCTGACTTACCACTGTCTCTGGGTCACTAGTCACTTAGGTTCCAGGCTGCCACTTAGCTCACCAGGTTATCCAGTGGGCAACTGGTGGTCAGTTGGCTCCTAAAGCAAACTCAAAGGTTACGGGTAAGCAGTTTTACCTCTCTGGGTGTCAGTTTCCCATAGAAGGTGGCCATTAATAGCAAGTCCTAGCAGGCTGTGAGTGCTTCACGCTACAATCCCCAGCACTCTGGGAGGCTGAGGCAGGCATATCACAAGTTTAAGCTCAGCCTGGACAACTTAGTGACTTAGTAAGACCCTGTCTCAAAATAAAACATAAAAAAGATGAAATTCAATGTGAAGGCCCCAGGTTTAGTCCCTAGTACTGCAAATAATAAACAAGTAAGTAAGTAGTAAATAAGGCCATCCTTGGCAAATACAACAAACTCCTCAGCACTCAACAGTTTGCTGATATGACTGCCTCACTATCTGAGCAGGCCACACAGCCTGCCTTGACCCCACTTGATAGCTGAGGCACTTGGGAGGTACCAGGCGTTTCCCCAGTCCTGCTCTGCCTCACTCCACGTTCCAGGGTTAGGTTCTGCCACACCATGAAATGAGATCACAGGTGTGAAATTATATCATCAAAGAGGAGCTTTGTTTGGAATCCAGGATTATTAGGAGGGCTTGAATCCTCAGATGGAGGTGAGGGTGAGGGGGAATCCCAAGCCTTTTAGTTACCTTCCAGGTTCCCCCAATCCCTCCAACCCCGGGGACAAGCTTCCAGTCTCCACCACCCCTCTACCTCCCAGGGGCTTTCCAAGGTAGTTCCCCTTGACTCCTGGGGGCTGCGCACAGGGGTTAACTAGGTCCTATCAAGGCCACAGAGTCAGAACAAGGCCATATGCTCCCTCTCCCCCAGAACAACAGCCCAGAGTCCACGTCCAGTGCCCTTTCACACCCCCCCCACTCCCTACATGGCCCCAAGGGCAGCATATGGAGCCCCTGCCTGGGACTCAAGACATCCAGGACTGTGTCTCCCTCCTGACAGCCCCAGCTTTAAGACCTTGAGCAAGCCCTCCCTTCCTGGGTCCAGAGGATTCCTCCAGGTTCCCCTGCCCAAGTGAGACTAAGATCCAGCCTGCAATCTGGGTCAAAGGCTATGGGGCTACTGGCATGTCTCCAACTCCAGCACCAACCATACAGACTTTCACAGCAGCCTCATACACGGTCACCCTGACCTCACACCAAGGTGGGGAAAGCCCCAGCAGCTCAGACAGCAGCCGCAAACTGGAGAGAGAAGTGGTCCGCATGAAGGATGTTTGGAAGGCTTTCTCAAGTCTACTTTTTTTTTTTTCTTTTTTTTTAGACAGGGTCTTGTTATATAGTCCAGGCTGGCCTTGAACTCATTATGTAGCCCAGGCTGGCCTCTAATTTGTGGTGGTCCTCCTGCCTCAGCCTCCCCAGTGCTGGGATTACAGGCGTGCACCACCATGCCTGTTCTAAAGTCTGCTTCTGACTCAACCACTCCCTCCCTGGTTTTAGGACCTGGGGCCATTGCTGTGCGCCCTCAGTGGTCCTCAGTGGCCTCAGCAGCAGTGGCAAGGAGATGAGCCGGGGGAGGCTGAGAGGCCACATCTCCACCAGCTTCTTCAGGGGTCCGACTCGGATCGCCACGCAGAGATCGACTCAGGGAATGCTCCAATAGCTAAACAGCGTCTCAAGAACTCCAGCATGCCTTGGAGAGCCTGGAGTCCAGCACCCCGGGCCTCAGAGAGCAGCTTTGAAACTGGGAAGCATTCCACCTCTGCCCACTGCTCTGGGTCACCTTTCTTGGGAGCTGACATGCCCAAGGATTGAGAAGCAAGGAGAAGCCATCTCCTCGGCGTCCCGATCTGCACTTGGACGCCTCAGTGGCTCCACCTGAAAAGCCCCTCCCTTGACTGCTACCTACTTCCTTTCTTCTTCCCTTTCTCTTGGTTTTTTCTTTACCTTCTGCCTCCTCCCTTCTCTCATCCCCAACATGAAGAGAGCCAGGTCCTTCAGACCTGCTGAGCCTCAGTTTCCCCCATCTGTCAGCATGCATAAGAATACACAACGCCTATCTCAAGAGTAGCAGCTGAGCTTTAAATGAGACCATTTGTGCAAGGGCGGGGCGCGGACCTGCACACAATGGGCGCTCAATAAGTGCCCATTTTCTTCCTTTCTCCTAGCAGGTTCCAGTCTCTGCCCGGGTCCTCCACGCCCCCAGCAGGCTGCAGCCGCGCCACGAGGGGTCGGCACCGCTCCCGCCGCGCATCCGGGCTCTCTCACCTGCAGCCTCGGCTCCTGCCGGCCGGCGGGGCAGAAGGGGCCCCTGTGCTCTTCTCGGGGCAAGCGCCGGGTCCCCTGTGGGGCGGGAGCAAGGCGGTAACTTCGGTTTACAGCACCAGCCCAGGGGTTCAGTCCGACTGCCCTGCCTGCCTGGAACCTCTGACCAGGCGCGGGACCCCGGCCGCGGCTTCCCGGGCACTCGAATGGTTCCAAGTTCCAGACAGTCTGCCAAAGGCGGAGGAAGGTTCGCTGCTCGGCGACCCGGGCTCCGCCGCACTCAAGTCGGAGCTGAAGCCACCTTGCGCTAAGCCGGGATAGAGGGCTGGGGGCTCCAGCACACACGGATTAGAGAGGCTGGAAACAAGCCCGCAACTGTGGGCCCGCGCGGTGGTAGTGGCGGGGTCCTGGCCAGCGCACCCAGTCGGGTCGGGGATCCGGCGGCCGGCCGCCCGCTTCGAACCGCGGAACCCGGGAC